CGGAATCAAAGAACTTAGATACAGTATATATATATATATACAGCTTTTAGGTATGAGCAGATGAGTTTTATTCACTCGTTAGCTTGAATATGGTTGCGAGTATGATACCCTGCACTGATGATTTGCGTCATACGATGCAAGAAAGCTGAGCAAGTTTTCGCCGAAATAAGAAATTGCCTCGAAATCATCATTAACAAAAATGTTCCCGAGACGCCAATCGACTGCTGGTCAAGAGGAATCTGCCGTTGTCTTGTGGTGGGATCAACCTTCGAATCTTTTCACCAGACTTTTCACTTGAAATGCTTTTGTTTTTTGAAAAAATGTTAGTTACAAGAATGCTATATGTCAATTTGCTTCGTTCGACAGGAGGCCAAAAAGTTGATTTCATGCGAGGCGCCCTATTCAGATGCACAAACTCAACCGCTCAGCGTTCTGGCTGCTCATTGCCAGCGCCTCTACACGGAGACGGTCTGTGGGAGTCCCTTTGGTGGCGTGCATTGTGGGCCTCAAACCGAAGAATTGTTGCGTTGCCAACAGACCACTTGCACTAGCCCCGTCGTTTGCAGCACAACCGGCATCGTCCTGCCCTCCGGGCTCCCAAATCCAGAAGCCGAACGAACAAAACAGGCCTCCGCAGGTACAGTGGCATTGTGCTCGTCCAGCCTCAGCTCAGCCTGCCCACCACAATCGGCTCTGAAACTACTTGCCTCATCTTCCCCATCTCCAACAATGCCGATTGCTGAAATGTCCACTTTAAACACCATCTTCGGCCTGCCCAGCGTCACCTCCAGCGAGCCTATTGCCCCCGTCAGCCCAACAATCAGCACAACAGCAACCACTGCCACTGTCTCATCGCATCGTCTTCTTGTCTCCGCCGACACAGCCGCCAGAGCTGCTGTTGTAGCGTTCGCCTCGATCGCCGGACTCACTCAAGCAACCGATGAACGAGGCAGCAACTATGCCTCAAGCCTCTATCCTGTGTCCATTAAGGCCGTCTCATCACCCGGTCCTGTATGTCACACCAATTCAGGGCCATCCCTCTCCTCGTCCTCCAGCTCGTCTTCCCCATCCTCGTCTGGGTCGATTGGATCGCTGCCCTCCACCGCCTCGTCTTCGGTTTCCAATGCAACCCCCGTCTCCACCAGTACCGCCTCGGAAAGGCAGTCCGACCTTTTGATGCCTTCTGTTTCATCGTCGAAACGTGTCTTCTCCACAACCGACCCAAGGCTCCCGGGGCAATCCATAGACCCTGAGGCCTATACAGAAATCGCACCTTCGAACCAGCCCAGAGACAATTTGACTGTCTATCCACTGAGCATGTATACGGACACAGGACATGGCTATCAATATCCGATGGTATTCTCGCCCCAGCAACCCTATTCTGGCCATCAAGGGCCCATGTCTGAGGTGCCACAGTCACAGCCTACATCGACCAGTACCAGCCTTAACCAGCATCACCACGCCTCTTTTCACTACTCTCAGCCGCTCCAGGCCCAACAACAAGAGAATAAGGATGATAATCTTTCACAGGCTGACAATTCCTTCATACCGTCACCAAACACGCCAGAATCTCAGCAACAAATGGCCTGGTCGCTTAGACATGGTGTATACGCCGAAGAGATCAGTTTCCCCGGCTATTCTGGCCAGAGTC